GATGTTGCCTAGCATGCACAAGGCCCTAGGTTCAATCCCTAGTACCTCCTAGAAGAGCAGCTGCAAACACACACACATATGAAAAAATGTTCCATGCAGATGACAAATAAGACATGTAACATCAGTAGTCATTGGAAGATCAAGTTTGAACTGGCTACAGGAGACAGGATAGGGAGCAAGGCTCACACAATGCTTACTGCCTGTTCTACCTGCCCAACAGGACAGAGGCAGACCAGAGAAAGCAGATGAGGAGGTCAGCAGTGTGGTTGGGACTTGAAAATAGTGATGAAAGGCCCAGTGTGATGGCATACATCTTTAATCCCAGCACCTAGGAGGAGAGGCAGGCTGATCTCTGTAAGTTCAAGTTCAAGGCCAGCCTGGTCTACATAGTGAGTTCCAGGACAGCTGGGGCCTCAGTCTCACAGAATCTGCTTGTTTCTGCCTCCAGAGTGCTGGGATTAAAGGCTTGTGCCACTACACCCAGCAGAAAAAAAAAAAATTTTTTTTAAAAAGAGGTTTGGGGTTGGGGCTGGAGAGATGGCTCAGCGGTTAAGAACACTGGTTGTTCTTGTAGAAGACCCAGGTTTGAATCCCAGCACCCACATGGCAGCTAACAACTGTCCTAACTCCGGTTCCAGGGGATCCGCAGCCTCTTCTGTCCTCCGCGGGCATTGCACAACACGGATGCACTTACCTACATGCTGGCAATACACGCATACACATAAAATAATAAATAAAAAATATTAAAAAATAAAAATAAATAAAATATATTTTTTTTAAAAAGAGGTTTGGGGTCTCCATATGTTGCCCAGGCTGATCTTCCCACTTTAAGCTCCTGAGTAGCTGGAACTACAGGCGCATAGCACCATGCCTGACTTAAAAAGAAGATTAAAACAACCTATAATCACAAGGGCTGTAATTCTGCTAATAGGTCACACATAAGGGTCACAAATTACAACTATGAAGAAGATACAAAGCATAAGACTTTCCAAAGGCCTTTAATTTTTGCACCCTGCAATTCACATCCATGCTCTCTGAAATGATTGAAAATCCAGCAGGATTTTCCTCCAAATTCATTTCTGTGGGAGAAGCTCACCCAGCTTTCTTCTCTCCTTCTGCTGTCTTCTCCTCCTAACTTTCCACCCCGATTGCCCCAAGTTTAGGGCGGCCAGTCATTCTGTTTGCCTGTCCAGTTCTAGCAGTGGACTTTGGCGCTCACGAGTCCCACATCCTGGGTCAACCCCCCAGCCCAGGCAAATAATGGTTGGTTACATGTGAATCTACATGTAGCTCCTAACTTTAGTCTGGATGTCTGCATACTAAGAATTTCCAGAGAAGGCTGGGTGATAGCCATTTCCTGGACACTTCTACAAAGCACGTTTCCTTGGACCATTTTCTGAGCATGAGTTTATGATTACTAAAAACCAAGTGCCAGGCCAGGAAAGTTACCTTGAGATTAGCAGATGGAATAGGAACCTAAAAATAGATATGGAAAAACTAAGGGAATAAGATAAAGCACACTCTTAAGAATCATGTGGGCTTTAAATTTTTTATTGCATTTATTTATTGTGTATGTATTATTTATATGTATATTTATGTGTGTGTTTAGTGTGTTTATTTAGTATGTGTGTATATGTGCCCACATGTGCCATGGCAATGTATGGCGGTCAAAGGACAACCTGCAGGAGTCAGTTCTTTCCTTCCATCATATGGGTTCCAGGCATTGGACTCAAGTCATCAGGCTTGGGGCAAGCTTCCTTACACACTGAACCATTTCTGTTGGCCCACTGTGTGGGTTTAAATCTCATAAGATTATAAAAGATAACCAATAAAATGAAAGATGTATGAAAATCTTATATTGAAAATTATTTCTTTGGAAACTAATTTAAATGTTTTGAATTATGAAACAAAATAAAATTGTAAGGGGGCTGGAGATACAGCTCAGCAGTTAAGAGCACTGCCTGCTCTTGCAGAGGACCTAGGTTCGATTCCCAGCATCCAAATGGTGGCTAACAATTGTCAGTTAACTCCAGTTCCAGGGGAATCCAAAGCCCTCTTCTGACCTCTGCAGGCATTGCATGACACAGGTGCACTTACACACATGATGCAATACACTCATATACATAAAACCCAAAAATAATAAAATATTTAAAAAATAAAATTATAAAAGGACCTAAAATCCAGTGCTGATGTTAGCAAGAGTTGATTGCCTTAAATGACAATTTAAGATTATTTGTTCCTTCCCTTCTTATTTTCTCCCATCAAGCAGTTAGATATCTGTATACTTATTGCCTCAGGTGGGAAACATAGCAAGAAAGATAGGTTTGATGAGCAAATGATGCCTGCCAAACATTTTGCTTCACTGGCAGGGTATTCAAGGACAAGGGCTTGGTGCTTTGAACAGAAATAAGAAGACCGTTCCTTTTTTTTTTTTTTTGTCTTTTTGAGACAGGGTCTCTCTGTAGCCCCAGCTGTCCTAGAACTCGCTATGTAGACCAGGCTGGCCTTAACTCACAGAGATCTGCCTGCCTCTGCCTCCCAAGTGCTGGGATTAAAGGCATGCACCACCATGCCCGGCCCTGAAATGTGTATTTTTAAAAAGTGAATTTTATTTTATCTTAATTTAAAAAATTGTCACTTTGGAGGCTGGAAAGATGGCTCAGTGGTTAAGAGCACTGGTTGCTCTGGCAGAGGACTCAGGTGCAATTCCCAGTAGCCACATGGTGGCTAACTCAGGTTCCAGGCAACCCAGATGCCCTCTTCCGGCCTCCTTTGGCACTGTATGCACATGGTGCATGTACACACGTGCAGACAAAACACTATTACACAAAAAGTCAAAAATTTTAATTGACTCTTTGAAGCAAGTGTGAGACTCCATATCCTTAAAAAATACTAACATAGTCAGGCATGCCTATCTTTAGTCCCAGCACTTGGGAGGCAGAAGCAGGTGGATCTCTGTGAGTTCAAGGCCAGCCTGGTCTACATAGTTAGTTCCAGGATAGCTGGGGCTACAGGGAGACCCTGTCTCAAAAAGACAAAATAATAATAATAATTTTTTCTTTTAAATATATTTTATTTAATATTTTTATTTTATGTGTATGAGTGTATTGCCCGCATGTATGTGAGCCATGCCTCAGAGGTCAAGAGAGGGCACCGGATTCCCCTGGAACTGGAGTTAAGGATAGCTGGTAGCTGCCATGTGGGTACTGGGAATCGAACCCGGGGTCCTCTACAAGAGCAGTCAGTGCTCTTAACCACTGAGCCATCTCTCCAGCCCCTAATTTTAGATATTTTAATGCTTGTTTATTTTGATTAATTGTTCCAAATAGGGAACATCCTGCTGTGTAACTCAGGCTAGCAATGACCTGGTGGTGACCCTCTTGCTTCTCACTCTGAAGTGCTAGGATTACAGGTGTGGGCCACCACATTGGGCAGCTCTCTCTCTCTCTCTCTCTCTCTCTCTCTCTCTCTCTCTCTCTGTGTGTAAAGAGCCTGTGGTCTCCCCCCCCTTTTCTTCCTTAACTTTAATTTCTTGACTTTTTGTTAATTTTAAGTAATTAATTTCTGTGAGGAAGGACCCTGTTTAGTTCAGGTAGGCCAGGAATAATTTCAGATCTTCCTGCCTCCTCCAGAATGGGAGGATTTTCTCTCCCCCTTTCCTCTCCCCCCTCCCTCTCTTCCTCCCCTCCCCCTCCTCTCCCTTCTCTCCTCCTTCTTCTCGCCCCTCCCCCTCCTTCACTCCCCCCTCCTCTCCTTTCCTCCTTCCCTCCCTCTCCTCCCCTCCCCCTTCTTCTTCCTTCCCCCTCCGCCCCTGCCCTCCTCTCTCTCCTTCCTCTCCTCGCCCCTCCCCCTCCCTCTCCTCTCCCTCCTCCCCTCCCCCCTTTCCTCTTCCTTTCCCCCTCCTCTCCCTCTTCTCCCTTAGTAGGGTCTCCAAAGAGGCTGCTGCTGGGACCCCAAGGCCACGTCTCCACACCCGACTTGAAGAGCCTAGGTAAATATAAAGAACCACCCACTTTCCCCAGACACTGGGTGGGGACGTGGTCCTTGCAAGCTATGTAGCTGGGCCCCCCCCCGACCCCCCATCTTAGCCTTAGAGAGTGACCTCCATGCTGGGGGTCCTTGGGTTCCTGTAGAGTGGGCCTGCAAAGGTGCTCTGAAGCTAGAACGCCGTTATCTTCTGGCATGATCCGCTTTCTCTCGCCAGCGTTCCCCAGAAGCCTAAGGCCAGCACGGTGGGATTGGGAAGCGCTGCGGTTGCAGGGTCGTGGGCATCCGACTCGCGGGGCCGAGGCCCGGCCTGTCCCACTCCACTTTCTCCACTAGAGGGGGCGGTAAGCAGCCATCCTGCGTTCCTGGAGGGAGGAAAGCGGAGGCCTGTTGTTATGATGGCGCTTGGTGGCCAGAGTCTTGATGGACAAGGACATTAGCTAATGACTAACGGAAGCAGCCGCTGTTTCCGAACGGACAGCCAACGGAGAGGCAGCAGTACAGCCAGCGGCCAATGAGGGCTGGCATGGGCGGGGCTTCTCCTGGAGGGCGGGCGGGGGTAGAGTTCCTGCGCCAACCCTGCGAGGCTCAGAGCACATCCGGTGTTGGTAGAGCGGAGAGGCTCTCAAGAGGCGGCCCAGGAAGGTACGTGCGAAGCTCGGACGAGGCCACCCGGGAATGAGGGAGAGAGGGAGCAGGAGTGGGAGTAGCTTTCGTTTTCGGGACAAATCCGTCCCTCTGGGAGCCCGGCCCGTTCTGTGTAAACGCTGAGGGGAACCTGGCCGCGACAGAACGAGTGCGGCGCATGCGCAGCTGCACCGGCGGCGGCGAGGCTGCGGGGTCTCCGGGGCGTTCGGGCGGGGGTTCCGCTGCAGGGGCCTCTGTACTACCCCTGTTGGCTTCCGTTGTTTCCTCCCTTCGCCTCCTCTGTCCAGTTCAGGGCTCCGGGTTCACCGCTTGAACTCACGGCGTCCCCCGCCTCCTCCTCAGGTAAAAGAAAGCGAAAGCTGGGTTGTTAGTGGTCGCCATCGCCCCACCCAGCGGTCCCGGCTCCGCTGCACGTCCTCGGGGCCGCCGCCTGGGCGGAGTGGGCCGGCGGCGTCTGCGGCTCGAGTTGGCGGCCAGGCCAGGCAGACTGCCCCGTCACGGCGGCCCGGTGATGTCACACTCGCCTGTGACGGGCGCGATTACTTGTCCTCGAAGCCAACGGTCGAGGCCGAGGCCGGAGGGGAGCACGGGTGCGCGGCCTCGTTCCCGCCCCACGGAGCAGCCCCACTCCCCGCCGACTGGTCACCTTTGGACAGGTGAGGTGGCCCGGGCTGCTTGGTCCGGAGCCCTGTGGGCGTCGTCCCAAAGTCCGCCCAGGAAGGGCGGCGATGGGCGATTGTTTTCTTGGACAGACTGGCGCTGTGATAAGTAGGCTTTGGTATTTTTTATATTAAAAAAAAAAAAATTCTGCCGGGTCACGTTGTGTTCCGCGTCCAGTCAGGCTTCTGTTGACCAAACAACAAAAACCACTTTGACCTTGAGACTCTTCGTCTAGTTTCACATCGACTTGTGAATGTGTAACTCATTAAAAGTGCTGACTGCCTGAATTCAGCGCAGACAAGAATCTTAAGGTTAAAGGTTTGTGGCAGACTTTCAGTTACTTCGTGATATTTATTTATGGTTATCTTTAGGCTTTCATGGGTAGTTTAAGATTTGGTTCAAGAAAGATGGACCTGAATTGTATAACCACATTTTCCATGGCTTCTGCAATAAGTCTGTAATTGTTACATTTGCTTTCTTTGGTGTTTCTTTGTCTAAGTTGGTCGTGGTGGTCTGACTTCACGAATATGTTGACATTTAGATTCTGCCTTTTCCTGCAGTAGGGACTGAATCCCGAGAATTGCGATCAGTAATTCGGATGGCAAGGTCCCTTCCATTCATCTTGTGGTACCTTTTCTTCGCTCCCCACCCTACTGTTGATCTTGAAGGAAGCCTTACCCTCCTCAAGACCAGGAAGTTCAAGAAAATGAATTCGTATAACTTAGCCTTTCTAGTATCCGGCGTCCCCTTACAGATACAGTTCATGTTCTTTGTAGAAGTGCAGAGGACTCCAGACAAGTGTTTGGGGAATTCTGTAACTGCCTTAATGAAAGCTTACTTTTCTACTGTGGGGTGAAACTGTAAAGTCAGAAGACCAGTCTGATTAAAATGGTTCTGGTTGAAAAGGGCAGGGTTTGTAAGTCCAAATCCAGTTTTCTAGCCACTGTTACCCTGCCATTATTAAAAAAAAAAAAAAAAGCTGGGCTCATCCTTGTCCTTCATGGATTAAATGTGATGATGGTTGGGGTTATAGCTTAGAATCCACAATTTAACAACTAAGCCAGCAAATCAAACACTTTAATAAATTTAATTAAATAACTAGATTACAAATTACTTGTTTTTTGTGGGGTTTTTTTTTTTTTTCCTCCTGCTGTTTACTTTTTTTTTTTGAGAGAGGGTTTCCCTGTAGTCCTGTAGTCCCAGCTGGCCTGGAACTTGTCACATAGACCAGGCTGGCCTTAATCTCAGGGATCCTCGTGGCTCTGCCTCCTGAGTGCTGAGATTAAAGGTGTGTACCATGATACCTGGCTCCTGCTATATTAAGTCAACCATCTTTTTAAAAAATTATTTTTATTTTATGTGTATGAGTATTATGCCTGCACTGTGTGGTGCCTTCTGAGGTCAGAAGAGGACATCAGATCCCCTGGAACTGAAATTAGAGATGCCATGTGGGTACTGGGATTCGGAAAAAAGAGGGCATTGGATCCCCTGGAACTGTAGTTACAGATGGTTAGCCTCCATGTGGGTGCTGGAAATAAAATGTGGGTCCTCTGGTAGATAAGCCATCTCTTCAGCCCATTTCAACCATCTTGAATCCTGTCCCTGAACATCCTGGACCAAATTGATAAGTATTGTTGTAGAAAATAATGCCACTGGCCTGAAGAATTTCACTTTATTTCATAAACTACCCAAGGGTATTAATTTCCTTTGAACCACTGAACAGTCCCAAGATGTTCTTAGAAATGTTTGTTTCTTTGACTTGGCTGTGGACTCTTCCATTTCTCCCAGTTTTGTTCTAACAGAATTTCTAACCAAGTGTCATGGTAATAAACATTTCCCAAATCAGTTACTCAAGACCAGAGAGAAAGACTAGAGAATGAATTGTGTTTGAGGGCCATTTGAGTGATCCCTTGAGTTAGGTTCCACTCTGATCTAGCTGAGGAAAGTTGATTTGAGGTTGCAGGACTCATTCTGATAATGGGATCTAGATTTGCTCTAGAGATAACTACTTTGTAGGTGGAAGTAACCAGGCTGTATCAGATGCCAGCTCAGCTCTCTGAAGGGGCCATTCTTACATAAGTAACTAGAATCCAAAAAAACTTGGGAAAAGAGCTTGAAGGTGAAGATGAAGTGTGTATGTTGGTCCTAATTTGTACTTGTTCTCATTTGGGCTGAATGGGGTTAGTGGGAAGGGATTGCTGGTGTTTCAGACATTGAGGCCGCCTTATGATTCACTTCTGTTAAATAGTTGTGGTTTTAGAGACAGATGCAGTAATTTCAGAGTCAAATTAAGTACAAAAATAATTTTGATAGATAGTACTGGGCATTCCATCTCTACTAATTACTGTTCTGGTTCCAAGGCAGTCCTCTCCAGAGGTGGATGCAGTGTTACTTACCCAGGAAATTTGGTCCAAGTTAAGAGAGCTAGACTTTTGGTCTCCTAGTGATGTAGCCCTCTTTGAAACAGAATTGTTTAGATTGTCCTGAAGCTGAGCTGATGTACCTCCTAGGGTAGCAGGAAAACTTATCAAGCTAATGAACATTTAACTTTAACAAACCCTCAACCTTGTCAACTTATTAGCAGTCTCAAAGCACCTGTAGCCCTGTGGGACAAGAGGTACAATGTACATGTGTCAGAGGAAAGCTATACCATTTAAATAACGATAATTTTAACCAGTAAGGAATTTATCAAGATCTTTAAATTTCAGTTTGCTTCCTTAGGATACCCCCCCATGTAAAATTTAATTTCACTCTGATTTAGAGAAATATTAAACGTTTTATGATGTTGCTACTGAGTTATTTTTTGGGGGGGGGGCTTTTTAAGACAGGGTTTCCCTGCAGCCCCAGCTGTTCTGGAACTCACTGTGTAGACCAGGCTGGCCTTGAACTCATGGAGATCCGCCTTCCTCTGCCTCCCAAGTGCTGGGATTAAAGATGTGCGCCACCATGCCTGGCTGAGAGTTATATATATTTTTAAACTGTTAACATGCTATATGTAAAGCAGGCCTAGATAAATGTCTTCAGAAACCAGACTTTTTGATAAACATGCAGTGAGCTTTGTATTATCCCACTTAGTATTAAGTCCTGTAAAGACTATTGTATATTACTATTTTGCAAATGATAGAACTGACATACAATGAGGTTTAGTCCAGAAGTTTGCTTTGTGTCATGCAACTAAGGAAGTAACAGGATTCAGAAGGAACAGGAATTGCATTTTTGGTGGTTGTTCATTTTGGTGCAAGGGATTTAATAGAACTACACTTGCAGCATCTCTGTGCTAAGGTCATGGTTATACAGAGGCTGAAAACTATTCAGTGGTAAGAATGACTGAAAAATTGCTGTCTTATTCTCTCTTTTAAAATGACATTTCTTTTTGTATATTGTATGTGGGCACATGTGTAGGAGTTGGGGTAGGTTTGGAGATCAGCTGTATTGTATTATGAGTGTTAAAATAGAATTGTAGGGTTTTTTTCTTTTTGTGGTGCTGGGCATGAATGCAGGGCCTTGTACATAATAAGAAAGCCCTCAGCACTGAGCTGTGTCCCCAGCCATTGTAAGTTGTGGGTGTTTTGTTTGGTGGTGGTAGTAGTGGTGGTGGTGGTTGATGGTGTTTTTGTTGTTTTCTCTTTTTAAAGGCTTGAACCTTATTAGATAATCTTTCATTTTTAGGATGAGGATGTGAAACCCTCCTCGTGGAACCCTCCTCATTGGCCCTCTCCTGAGGCCACCACTAATTGCTCTTTTTCGCTTCTGTAAAATGCTTGTTTGGCTGAAAGGACAAACTGTATTGACCCCATTTTTGACTAGCTGTTTCAGGCAAGTCTGGATATGCCCAGGCATGTTGTGACCTCCACCTACCACCCCCACCCCAGGAGGCTATAGATTAAGCAAGCCTGGGCATGTAACAGCCTTATAAGGTAGAAACGGAGACTCCTGGCCCCACAGATAACAGCACATTCCATAGTCCTGAGAGTAACACCCACCAATGAGAAACCTCCAAGGCTGCATCCCTCATAACCAATCAATTCAAAAGTATATTGGTGCGCGTGGGCTCCTTGGACCAGTCAAAATATGACTCTGT